CCATTTAACTTGCGCCGTTGAATTTGCATCTGCACACTGCATCTAAAATTTTTGAGTCTTGAAAATGAATGACAGTGAAAAAAATTGTAAAGAGAAATTTGTGAAAGAAATTTCTTCCCGACACTCATTGCCAGTTCATTGTTATATCACATTTCGACGAAGGACCAACATTTGTGGAAGTGTGACCAAAATTACTCTTGCGACCTTTCAAATTTGTCATCACGTCAATATTTGGTCCGTTTTTTACGTGAGCGGTGTTTCTTTGTGCAAAACTGTGTTTTACTTTCTTTAAATAACAATACTGCCTACAAATCATGTAAAATTATTTAAATCAAAGCTTTTTTATAAAAAATTTTACTAACCGAGAAATAAAAAAAATCATCATCGAATTATTTTGTCTTCGTGAATTATGTCACGTCAAAAAAACATTCACTTGAGACATTTATATGCAGTTCTCAATTAATCTTCCAAGTACCATGTTTACCGTGTTTTGTTGTGTGTGTGTGCGTGTGTGTGTGTGCGCGCGCGTGTGTGTGTGCGCGCGCGTGTGTGTGTGCCCATGACAAAGATAATGACGATGACGACATGATAATGAAGATGATGATGGACAATAAAAGACGAGAAAGATGCTAACGCCGATTAAAATTATCTCGAGGAAATGGAAATGATGAACTTGAAGAAGAGGAAGAGGAAGAGGAAGAAAAGAAGGAGAATGAAAAGGAAAAGGGGGAAAATGAAGAGGATGAGGGGGAATATGAAGAGGAAGAGGGAGAAGATGAAGAAGAAGAAGAGGGGGAAGATGAAGAGGAAGAGGATTATGATGGAAATGATGATAATGAAAGAAATAAGGATGACGTTGACGATGATGACGACGACAGACACGGATGGTCGAAATAATGACTCATGTGTAAGTACCCGTTAAACGTTGTCAGCGGACACAAAACCCTCCCTCGCTAACGAGCTAATTGTCGATAGCTGTTTTGTGTCACTGGGAAAGAAAAAACGCAAAAAGTGATCATAAATACTATCAAATTTTGAAACTTTTTTTACAAATAAAAAACGTACAGCTCAAAAACATTTATTTAAAAACATGTTTAAAAAATTAACAAAACGATTTGAGATTAAAATGGAACTTAATCAATAATATTTTGAACAATAAAAAAAAATCTTCAACGATTAATTCTTTAAATTACATCAACCCGACGCATTAGACATTAGCAACGCCGCAGTGAAAATTTTGTTGAATCAGTGAACAGACTTCAGTGTGAATTCTCGAGCTCCCAGCTATTATGAATTTTTCTAACTTAACCAGCGACTAGAAATTTATCATGATATAGATTGTAGCAGGGTTATATTTTATTTTCTGGTCTATAAAACTTGTAAATTTGAAACAATTCCTACTTTAAAACGTTGTTTTCGACGTCAAGTGATGTACAATATGGCAGGAGCTTATAAAACGGTCGTTCATCTTTCTTTAAAAAAAATTCCCGACCAGGCCTCTGCCAGCAATTTCAACTTCATCTGTAAAGTAAACAACAAATTAATCGCCGTCTACTAGACAAAAACATCCAAGAATTCTGTGAAGACATCGCTAATGCAATAAGAACCTTTGTTTACTAGGATGATTCTTAAAATTTTTAAAGGCTTAGTTTGACTTTTTTTTATAAATAATTTGTTTGGGCTCGCCTTGAATTGGATTCTACGATTTTTTTCATTTGTTTTTAAATTATTTTAATTAAATCTGCAAAAAATATTGCTTATACAACATCAACGGGGTTAATTTTAGCTAGTCACTGCAACTTTTAACAGCACTGACATTTCGTGATGTTATTTTGAAAACAAATAATATATTCATGATGGCAATGCTAAAATTCTCCATTAAAAACATGTGGGAATGAGAAATTTTTTAAAAATTGTATCAAAAACTGCAATGAATAAAACGTACGCGCCAAACATTTTCATGAAATTTACAATCCACGTCTGACAACTGAGCCGAACTCCTCAAGAAATTTTTTTTTCGACAAATTTTGATGTCTCGTATTCATCTTAATAAACATTATTTACTCTACCATATTCAGTTAATGATGATTAAAATTGAGAAACATGGAACTAAAAATGAAAAATGAAACCAGGTTCCATGCTTTATAGATTCTATTCTTGTCGAAATTATTATACTTTTTTATTTGAAAACCAGTTTTGTCAAAAAAAAATGATTGATAGGTTTAGTAATTTTAACCAAAACAAATAAAAATGTGTTTTTAAAATGGTTTTAAAAATTTAAATAACCCTAAATATCAGTGAACAAATAAATATTTTTGTTCCTCTACGTCAATCAAAAAAAATTTAAAAACATCAAATTTCCATTTTAAAATATATTTTGTTTTTGATCTTGCTTAACAAACTAACTCATCATCCATAATTATAGTTTTATAACCACGTTTGCGCAACAGACACAAACACACGCACAAACTAACACACAAACTAAATCACATATTTTAACAACATGCACCTATAAAAGGATGGTTAAATTAAATATTTTCCGCACAAATCACAAAAATGAATTCTGGTATTTATATTAATTAATCAAAGTGTCAAACGACTTTTTAGGAAATTTGTCAAGTGCGTTTCAGGTACATCGCAGGAGGGACCGGTGGTAATTCACTGAATACATCACGGAGATATAATACAAACGCTGATATATCAAGTGTGACATTTATAAAATACAAAAATGCAAAGATGTAGTTTATGAAGATTGCGTTCTGTGTTCTTTTTTGATTTGTTTTATATCGAAAAAGTGCTAAAAAGAATTTGTAAATATAAAATTTTTTATTATATAGGTTTTAGAACCTGGAAAAACATGTAAAAAATATAACGACACAACAACCAAAGAATAATTACGTTGTAAATAATATCACAATTTGTTTCTCATGAGTTTAGGTTTAAAGTCAACACCCTCCGCTTCTAACTTAACGATATGTAACCATATGATTAGCAATTCAACTACCAAATAAACAAAATTTTCCAACATCGTACTAGGATTAAGACTGTCAGAAATGCAATTATAATTGATGAAAATCACAGCATGTTCGGCGTTAGTTAACTTCCAATTTAACTTTTCGATTTTTTTAACGGTTGATCGTAAATCATTTTCAAGTTTATTTAGTTCAAAACCAAAAGTTTTGTTTTGTTTTTACAATCTTCAATATCGTCAAATATACCACTTTTACACGTAGAAGTGTAATATTTAAAAAATTAATCTTATGAATATTCATTCACTCATTCATTCATTCATTCATTCATTTACTCATTTCACACAATGGAAGGGAAGAATATATCATTCCAGGCAAGAACTTCAGAAAACATCACCAGCAACTCATTTAATTAGTAGAAAACACGCTATAAGCATTCATTGCAAAACAGGAAAAACCGCAACAAAAAACAAAAACAAAACTAAAACAAACAAACAAAATCGAACAAACAAAACAAGAGTGTAGTAGGTGCCCTCCACCGCCCACCCGCCTACGTACATTCGCCACCACATCAATCATCCATTTATCTTCATTCCAGTTATCGCAAGCTCGTTTATTCATTGTTCTGCTAAGGTCTGCTGCACACACACACATACGCTGAATGGACAAAAAAAACATTTGCTTAAATATCAGCATCTACTACAGCAAGTACCAACGTATAAAACCTTTCACTCGTTTTTATGTTTTTCTTCGTTTCGCATTTCTTTCTTTCTCTCTTTTTCTCTCTTACTTTCTTTTTTTCTTTCATTCTTTTTTAGACCTCATCATTTTTGTTTTTTTCTGCCTTTCTCTCTTTCTCTCTCTCTCTCTCTCTCTCTCTTTCTCTCTCTCTCTCTTTCTCCTTTTCTTCCTCTCTCTTTTTCTTTCCTATCTCTCTCTTTCTCTCTCTCTCTCTCTCTCTCTCTCTTTTTCTCTTTCATTTGTTCGGTTTTTTACGATGTTCCTCATTTTATGTTTTGATTCAAAATGTACATGCCAGTACCTGCTTAAGAAATAAAATTTTGAAACAAGTCTTGTATTTGTTTGTGTGTATATACCTCTAGGTGTATGTAGGTGCGAATTTGTATACGATAAGATACGATACGAAGGGTATATCGTATATGTAGAAGTGGATATGAGATTGTATGTGGGTGTGTATGTAGGTGTGTATTTTTGTGTAAATGTGTGTATTTATTTGTATATATGTAGTTGTATTTGCAATTTGTATAGGTATGCGTATATGCCGGTTTATTGTATTGTGTTGTATTGTATTGTATTAAACTGTATTGTATTAAAATGTATTGTATTAAAATGTATTGTATTGTATTAAAATATATTGTATTGTATTAAAATGTATTGTATTGTATTGTATTAAAATTGTACAGTGTTGTACTGTACTGTACTGTTTTGTATTGTATTGTACTGTGTTGTACTGTACTGTACTGTTTTGTATTGTATTGTATTGTACAGTATTGTATTGTATTGTATTGTATTGTATTGTATCGTATCGTATCGTATCGTATTGTATTGTATCGTATCTTATCGTATTGTATTGTATTGGCGATATGCAAATGTTCTCATAATTTTTATCTACGTAAACTATTGGTGTGCCTGCTAGTGTAAGGTAATTTATTGATGGAGATGTTATTTTTATAGGAAACTGAGAGGAAGTGTGATGCTAATGAATTAATTAATTGGCAGATCATAAACCATCAGAATGACGTCTGGTTCAATTTGTATTTATATTTTCACGTGTTTATGTGGCTGGTGATAATTATGTAGAGAGAATAATTTTACATATTTTGTTTTTACGTAACAATTTGTGATTTTAAAATTTACTTACAATATAATAATCCAATAATACAATACAATATTTTATTTCCTCCTAAATATGAAGGCATACTTGAATAATATATATCTAAAATTTACTCGTTATTAAACAACTTATACGTTATAATAATTTTAATGGAGAGCCTCTAAAAAATTGATCAGGACTTCCCCAAGAGATGTACCAGATCTGGATCGCCTATCCCTATTTCTTCGGCACTCCCTACTGCCTGCTGACGATCTACCTGCTGGACATGACCTCGTCTGCATCCGTCTTCACAATCACGGCATTCACCGTCGAACGATTCTTCGCCATCAAATATCCATTTTTTACGCGCCTGTCTGGCCAGAAGTGTAAGAGAGTAACCTTCATCGTCTGTCTGATTTGGTTGGTGGCGGCGGGATTCTCAATCCCATTCCCTCTTCATTCCGGAGTCTTCTATTCCCTCAACTATCCCGGAACCGGTCGGTGAGGTGGTGTTGAAATTGTGGTATCGTAAATGTTTGTTTTTTTTGTGGAATGGTTTGGTGAAAGGATTTTGTTCGGCGGATGTTGACGAAAGTTTTATGGAAATGATGTTTTTGTCATGATTTATAAAGAAAATATCGTTTGAAATGAATTATTATTTAAAAGTTGATAAAAATGTGACATGTTTTTGAGCTGTAATTCATTTTTCATTCTTTTCAATAATTTTTCAGTTTTTTTTTTGGAAAAAGGAATAAGATTTTTTTGTAAAAAGGTTTAAGAAATATGTGGGTTCAGATTTATTTATGTGCGTTTAAAAAGTGTGCCTGTGTGTTTTTGTGAGCGCATGTCTCGCTCTTCCTTTACAAATTGCCACATAAATACCATAAAAAAATTTGAGAAAAAAGGATTTTTTTTTCGTTTGTTTCAACGCTGTTTTTATTTCGGATATAATTAATTTGTCCTTCAAATGCAAAATAATTTATTATGTAAATATATTGTAAATATTATTTGAAAAAATTATTTTCACATTTGCAAAATTATTTTTATAAAAAAATTGTTAGCCCATCCAAGCAAACATAAATTCATTGTTTGGTTGTTTGGCTTTCGTGGAAATCGTGATGACCACACAAATCTTATGAATGAATATATGAATAAATATAAATAAATATAAAATAAATATATGAATGAAGACAGAGACCAAGCAAAGACATATCTGATGTCGTGACCTTTTAACCTTTATGACATTTTCAACTCACCTCCCCACTTTTTCAGATAACAAATTATTAATGATAATTAGGGAATGCTATCTGACCAGGCTGTTGTGATTGCTAGTTAAGATGTTTTTCGTGGATCACCTCCAGGCTAAAAGTTACTCACCTTATTTCAGCCAGGGTAGCCAAGTTATGCAACCTATCATCATCTTCATTTTAGTCTTACTCGATATCTCATTTTAACTTGCTGATGATGTCTATTCTTAAATCATTCTTACTAGCATGGCATAATTTACAAAAAACGTCTTCATGTTAAAACAATGTGTTACAGTCTAATGGAGTTTTTTTAAAGCATTAAAATCAAAATTCAAAAATTGTTATGCGTTGCCCTGCTGACTCAACATAACGAGCAGTTTCGTTTCACCGGGCAACATCGTTCACTTCCACCAGGGTAGGTGTCCTGTTGTTCTCTATTTAAAAGTGAAACCATTATTTTACCACATATGTTTTTGCCAAACAAAAAGCAGCCCTGCTTTTACCATGTTTACGTCAACCGGTTTTCAAGATGAAAAAAATCCTTAATAACCTGTTATATGACTATTTGGTAAACATCAATATAGTTATAGTTCTGGTAGTTTTCGAATTTTATATATAAAAAAGGTTGGCATGAAATAAAGAAGAATTCATATTGGCCACCTTACTTATTAGGACAGTTAACCAGTCATTCAAAATAGTGATCCAGTACAAGCGCTACCCCACCCTGATATAGAAAATATAGAAATACCCCAAAAGCCAAAGAAAAAAATTGCAATTAGTTATTTAACCCAAGAAAAAACTGGCTACCTCTTTGTTGTTTATATCTTATTTCACGTCTTTCAGGTCCAGACACACTCGACTGTTTAAACAGATGGCTTGATCCAGAGATAAAAAACTAGATATAAATAATAATAAATAACTAGATATAAATAACTGCTTAACTTTAAGAGACTTTTTGTATTGATAGCAGAGATGTTTTCAGGTACGAAAGAACAGTGTTAGCAGTATCATCAGTAACGATGGATTAGTGAATTCATCGCAGATTCTAAATAATCAGGAAAACATCAACACGTGTAAGAGTTATCACAGCAATTTAAAATATAATTCGTTGCATTACTAGAAGAAATTTCTAAAATAAAAAAAGATTTAGATTAGATATGAATGATTTAGAGAGTATTTAGCAGAAAAAAGTGAGAACGAAAAAGTGATCGTAGACCAGAGCGCTTAGATAGAGGACCTACAGATTTATATGCAGTTTTTAAAACGAAACGCAAGCAGAAAGCATCGTAAACTCCGAACAAAACTCAAACATGATTGAAATTTTTGAAAACGTAACATGACATTATCCGCAAATTTTTGTGTAGAGGGTGCCATTAAATATGTTTATTCATCTTTAGCCAACTTAAATCTGTAGTTTCCTGTGTGAGTGACTAGTTATTTGGATTTTCTTACAACATACAACAGTTTATTGTTGGTTGATTTTATGATGTTTTAATATGAAAGTTAGAAAAGTTACTATTCAGACGAGAAAAATCTGTAAAAGTTTGACAAATATTTGCCACAGTGTAAAATTTTCGTTAATAAACAATCCTTGTTGATAGTATTATTGAATCATTAATTAAATGACGGTAATAAAATGATTTTAAAAGTAGTTGAAATAAATCTTCAACGAATTATAATAATTAATTCAGTTTAAAAAATAAAAAAATAATTTTATCCCACACAGACATCCCAATCCTTGAGACACGGATCTGTTCGTCCAAACCCGAGTACGATAACTACTACAGAATCCTCCTACTAGTAAGCTTCACGTGTCTCTTCGTGATCCCGATTATCATCATCACCATCTTCTACACCCTGATCGCCATGGCAATCAGGGAGTCTGCCCAGACGAGAAACTTCCACAGGTGCGATGGATCGGCCGGTCATCACGCCAACCACCAAGCGGTTAACACTAGCCAGTCCCACAAAGCCGTCGTCAAAATGCTAAGTATGTCATTCGTGTTTGGCTCGTTGTTTCTTGCTTCCAAATTAAAAATAACTTTGAAAATCATATTAATTGATGAATATTGACAGAATGTTATGGAATTGAGGAATATTTAAAGATTTAAGGATGAAATGATGATTATAATAGAAATATTTTTTGATGACAACTTCATCCATCAACTTGAAATCTGCATCTGACTGAATAAAATTCGCTTTGGGAATTGGCAATCAATCATGATGCATTTAAAGCGCTGTCAAAGACGTGTTATCGTCGCGCAGGCATAATTGAAATGACGCAAAATTATAAGACCTTCTGCCGTGACTTTCTGGTGATTACAAAAATTTAAATTTAAAAAATTTTTTTTGCACACTTTTCATAAAATTTCGCTGTCAATCAAGAAAATATTCTTCAAACATTCCAATCTCATAATTTGATATTTAGTTTATATAAAGCTTAAACATACAAAAATGTACTTTCAATTTAAAAAAGAATTAATTATTAGAAAGTTTTTCAGTTGAAAAATAAAATCTTAGAAAGAATTTCATGATGAAAATTAAAATGGCTACCGAAGAGAATCTAGAAAAAAGTCAATGAATTAAAGCAAAAGCGAGAGAAGGTCAAGATTGTTTGAACCTTGCTGACCGAGGCTGACAATTAATTTAAAGAAAGAATGTTGTTGATAGGGAAAGTTTTTCACGGCCTGCAAATGCTGTTTAAAACTTTCGCTTCCACCGTTGGAAGATTTTTTTTCTGAAAAATATTTTAAAAATTTAATTCACACTGATTTCTATTTTTACTTTAAATATATTATTTTATTAATTGTTAATTCGTTCAGCAATCCTTTGACGGTCGTTAATTCTTTCCTTTATTTATACAAAGTTCAAACAGAAAAATTTTCTTGCACAACAGTTTCCCATACATGCACTGCACGCACATATTAATGCGTGCGTGTTTCAGATCATTTTCATGTTCGCACAATGTTTACAAATCCACGTTCACACTCGAGTTTAAGCACGCACGCACGCACACATACACGGCATACACACACTTTCACACAAACATACACATATTTAAATAGACGGATGCAAATGCAAACAGACACACACAGATACACACACACAGACACACACACACACAGACACACACGTATGCACGTATATTTCAATATCCTTTAACATTTGAAATGAAGATTTTCTTTTGCATCTAATTACGTTTTTACTTCTATCTTTGTTTCTTCTAGGAGTAAATCTCTTGTGGAAATTCTAAATGTTAATCTCTTTTGATTCTCTTTCAATCGCCTTCATTGTCTCATCTATTTTCATCAACCATCTGTGCTCGTTTTTACCCGTTTCAAAATTTTTCAGAATCACCACCATGAGCAAGCCAATAAAAATGTTTACGATATTTTTATTTAGCAAGCTAATGAAAGGATGATGTCTCATTTGGATCTGCCTTTTCTCCTGATTTAAATTTTTTTCTTCTCTGTTAGAATCTCTAATGATAAGAGGAATTTTTTGTTCTTCGCCTTAACATACTATGCGATTTCTGTTTATATTTCATTTTTTACAATTGAAGTCATTTTAAAAACCATGCGTGATTTCACCCCAAATCACGTGACATTTCATTTTTTAGTTGCAGTTGTGGTGGCATTCTTTATCTGCTGGGCCCCCTTCCACGCCCAACGCATCATGACGTCATCGACATTCGACAACTGGTCCAGTGTCGCCCATAGCATCCATAATGGTCTCTTCTACATATCAGGTACGTTCGTGTTTCTCTGCATCTCGTGAAGGTGATGTCTTTCTGTCTGTCTGTCTGTCTGTCTGTCTGTCTGTCTGTCTGTCTGTCTGTCTATCTGTCTGTCTGTCTATCTGTCTGTCTGTCTAAAATGTAATTATTCATTTGGTATTTTTGTATTTAACATTTCAGTTAATTTTAAGAAAAATTTTTTAGAATAATTTTGAAAGGTGATCAAAAAATACAAAAAATTTAATTTGAAACTTGGTTCGAATTTTTTAAACTCGTTTCACTCCGAAGCGTATGATCGGTTGTAACCACTTTGCAATTATATTTCAAAAAACGAAGACGCTCGTAAACTCTATAAGATCTATTTAAAAGAAGTTCTCCGTCCAAGATCACATGCAAATTTAATTAAAGGCAGAAAAAGATAACGAGAAAATGAAAAAACAAAAAGTTTGAAAAAATAATTAGGCGAACAAACAACATTTCAAAATGATAGAAAAATAGTTTGGTAAATAATGATGTTGTTGACTTGGTTCGAACATTGATTTGAATGGTAAAAATAGAAATATACATATTCTTTCTAGCATCATGATGTAATGCTTACATCCAAACAATTATACCTATATGCATAGAGACATTATCAGATAATAATCAAGCAACAAACACATCATCAAACAACACAACAGGTGTCTTATATTACTTCGCATGTACGGTCAACCCCATTCTCTACAACCTCATGTCTCGCAAGTACAGGCAAGCATTCAAAGAGACACTGTGTCGCAACAGCTGCTGCTGTCGCAAGCGGTCGAGGATCAACGTGACGAGGTACACGGCCACCTATCCGAGGTCCAACAATTTCGTTCTCTGTAACGCACATCGAAACGCCAGCCAACTGAACAACCACTTCGTTAGAAACGGCACTCACAACGGCACAAGAGAAATAAACTCCTCGGCCTGCATCCACGTGCACAAAGGTCAGATCAAACAGCAACATAACAACTCGTGCAACAGGCGCGTGTAATCAGAGCAGTATTAACTTCATCGGTGCATCCTTAGTTTTCCTTCGTTTGAAGTTTTCTGACGAGAGTCGTCTGCTTTTTCACAATAAAAAATCATTGATCCACGACAGATTTTACAATTAAAAGGAGCGCTAAGTAATAAAAGAGGGTGGTTGTCACGTTCCATCTGCACGCGTGTTGTCAGCGAGGAACGTCTCAACGGACACGAGCTTCTAAGGAATGTTGTGAGGGCGGAAAAATTAATTAAAAACGGCAATATTTTTTTAAACTTCACTCGGCAACAGACCGTCGAATGTACCAACATGATTCACTTTCACACACAGCAAACATGCATTTAATTACGGGACAGTTGTATGCCGTGTGAAATGTTTGCGTACGAATGATGCACGCGTAAATTTTTAAATTTCGATCTTGAGAATTTTTTTTTCTTCTCCAGCATTTGCTTTTTAATTTCAGTCGACTCGTTCGCCCATAGTGACGTTCATTCGTTTGTGTAATTGTCTTCCCTATTTGAAATGTTAACAGACAGCAGATGTATCTTATTTGCATTATATTAAATTATAACGAGTAATATACATACACGTATGTTAATACATCGTCGTCATTGCTGCTGTCTTTATTCAATTATATTGAAACGTACGCTTTCAAACTTAAAGACACTTGTTCATTATCACCAGAATTTTTTTTTATTTTTAATGCATAGTTGATGAAAAAGTAATGCAAAAAAATGTCTGTCATTTTAAAAACTCGATGCATGGTCGATAATATGAATACTATAGCAGGTGAAAATAGAAAAAAAATAAAATGAAGGCAAAAAATTCAAGTGGAATGTTTGAGGAGGTGTCTCCATCACTTGGTCTGCAGCGTTGATATCTTGCTCCTACTTATCTTCGAACAGCCTCTGTTTTGAAATATGTGCGAAAGAAATAAATGTACATTCAATGAAGAAATGTTTTCACAACACACCACATCACTGACATAACAAAACATCCACCAATAGTTTCAAAATACAGTGAGAAAAGATTGAAGACTGATATCCCAAAGCGATATTATTATAGACCTGGTCCCCATGGACCGCAATTTACGTTTGTTGTAAAGATATACTGAAGATGTTATGCCATGCTGAAAATCTTGTGATAATTTATGTACCTCTTAATGCAATAAAACATATAGCGAAAAATATTAAAATAGAGAAACAACATTGGTCTTCATATGCAAAACCACACATACATTTAACGAATGTATTCAGTAGATAACTTTGATATAATAAGCAAGCACACATACAGAAAAATACAAACACAGAGACAAACACATAGGTAAACATACAAACACAGTCACAATAGCACAGAATTCCACTACTCACGTGATCTCATCCTTCCTGACCCTGAAGAACTCCTCAACGAACTCTGACCTCCCCAGAAGTTCAACAAAATCTTCGTCGTGGGTTATCACAATCAGCTGAAAGTTCTTCTGCTTCGACCGACTTTTTATTATTCTGTCGTGACAGCAATCAAATTAAGGTTAAATAACAATAACTATAAAAAAATGACAATAATAATAAATACAGCAGTCGTAATGCAACGATCCGTTCAACCCGCCGAAAAGTACAATGGCAAACTATGCAACCAATCAATCAATCCATGCTTCGCCAGTTAATCAACCTATCGTTCAATCAATCAACCTATCGTTCAATCAATCAACCTATCGTTCAATCAGCCACTCATTCTTAGGGCATCTAATCAATCGTCATTAAACCAATAAATAATCCATCTAGACAGGCACACGCACACAAACTCACGCATACACGCACACATAACAACACACGCACAAGCGCATGCAAAGGTACAAACCAACTAACTCGACTAATGCAAATGCCAGACTTTCTATGTTTTCCCTGTCGAGATTGGTTGTAGGTTCATCGAGTGCCAGCACTCCACAGTTGAGGCAGAAGGTCTCTGCCAGTGCCAATCTGATTATCAGTGAGGCCAACACCTATGACGATGTTGTGACGTCATGATGACGTGTATCACTAAGAGGGGGGCAACACTCAAACGTACAAGCACACACACACACACACACATACACACACACACCTTCTGTCCGGCACTGCACCGTCCCCTCATGTCCAGTTCAACCCCCCCGTTCAACATGACTACTCTGTAGTGGTAGGCTCGTCTTGTTTTTGTTGTCCCTGAATCATCTTCAACATCTGACCTTATCTCTATTGCTTCTATGTCTGCGTCCATATCAATTACGGTCTTCATTGTTAGAGTTATAATTATTAAAGTTTTTAACGTTATTGTCATTATAAACCAACCAATAAGCTAACCAGTCAATCAACTAACCAACCAATCAACCGACCAACCGACCGACCTTGCCCTTTGTATGTATCTCTCCAGAGTTCCCTGATGATCTTGTTGATCTCTGCCATCTTCTGTGCGTGGAAGGACATGATGGTCCTGAGGTGGCAATTGTAAGTTATTGATGTCTGCGTCTTTATTCACATTTTGTCATTTTTAATTTACATGACTACCTGCATCTGAGATACTAACTTATCGAGTGCCTTGTAGTACTTATCCAGGTCAGTGGAGGCCACCTCCGTTGTCTGGTTGGTCGAGAGTTGAGTGATTGGCGACAACCATGCAACTAATTATCAGCATCAAACCAACGAAACAGAACAAACAAAACAAACAACCGACCGACCAACCACACAACCGACCAACCAATTATTCAACCAGCAACCAACCAGTCAATCAACCATCCAACAACCAAGCAGGTACCAACCCTAAGAGCAATCAACTTTTCTTTATACTCTTTCTCAGCACTGACCAGCGGTTCCGTGCTCAGTTCACCTTTCAAAGTCTTCATCTCTGCATCCAATTGTTGCTGGCGTGTTTTGTGCTGCTCTTTCTGAAGCAGAGTGGTGAATTCAGATTGACAAATTGGTCAATCAATTGATCAATTGATTGGTCAATCAATTGATCAATTGATTGGTCAATCAATTGATCAATCAACCAATTAATCAATCAATCAATTAATCAATCAATCAATAGACCTACCTGGCGAGCCAACTTGTCAACATCCTCCTTCAACGAGTCCTTCTCTTTCAGCAGCTCATTAACATCGTAACCTCCCAACTTATCATTCTCACACTTGATCTTCTTCTCGATGACTGACACCTCCTCCTTCAACTTCATCAGCTTCATGTTGTCCTCCAGGTTTCGCCTCTGTGTCTAGTTTCAAGTAAAAACAAAATGCATACGAGATGAAATGATAAAAATGATAACAACTACACTGGTAAATAGTGACAATGATCACGATGACAATGGCTAAATAAATGATACCGCTGATAAAGTTGTAACAATGGACGACAGATTTGAAATAAGGTAAACGAAAAACACAATAACATTAACAACCAAAAATTTATTTAATAGGAAAATCTTTCACAAAATCTGAATGAGAAGTGTTGATCATCAAGATCGAATTCATAAAATTTCAAAATGATTTGGTCCAATTGTAAGACTATTGAAACTTGAACATGACGAAACCTCTTGCGTGGTGAGTTCTTCGTTCAACTGTTGCACAACGTTAGCGACATCCAACTTCTTCTGCTCCAGTGACTTCAGCCTGCCATTCAACGTGTCCATCTGGGAAATAATGTCGCCCAGTGCTTTGTCACCATCTTCATCCTCGTACCTGTTTGTTAAAAGTTTTGCTTTTCATCACAATTCATGATTATTTTGAAAATCATTTGAAAGAAATTTAATTGTAAGAAAATTATTTTATAAAAATTGAATATCCACTGGTTTATCTTAAAAAATACTCACACACAGCCAAAAAAATCAACTGAGTGAACAATATCAATAATTGTAATAAAAACATCAGTGAATGTGTCATGATATTAAAAATAAAGATGCCAAATAGCGTATAAAAAGTTGACAAACCTCTCTACATCCGACTGAACTGATTTCAATTGCTTCATATCATCCAGTAACTTGTTCACCTGTTCATTTCCAATATTTACACCAAAGATACTTGAATTCGGATATAAAATATGGCGCCTAGAAAGTGTAAAATGGTTAAAGCGCCTGCTCTTGCTGTAACCGTGGCCGGGTTTGAATGCAAGCAAGATCTTCGTAGATCGCATGCAGCCTAACTGGTGCATGCATTCACCGGTATTGCTGATACTTGTGAGAAATAATAGCAATAATAATAATAATAATAGCAATAATAATAATAATAGCAATAATAAAAATAAGCAATATAGTCGACCTTGACATTAGCCCTGTTAGTTTCTGCTTCCTGCTCTCCATCAAGTTGTCTCTTCTCCTTCATGACCTCTTCTATTTCCAGCTGATGAATTGTTCAACAACAAATAAAAACATCTATTAGTTTTTTGCATTTGAGACCGATTGTTTCGTAAAAAAAAGTATATTTTAATTTTTAACAAACTGAAAAATATGATTAATTAGAGAAATAATTTAAACATCATACACTGATAGGTCTGGTGCTCTCTTTGGCTGTCTGAAGAATTGGAGAATAAACAATAAATCATTTGGTAAAATCAACGTAATTAAATTAAATAAATATAAAATTTAAATTAATTAAAGTAATTCTAGATTTAAGCAAAAAATAAAACGAAACAGAACTGCCCAAAAATTTGACACACATAAAAAAAATGATGAAACCAATTATAACTAATTTAAAATAAACATTAAGGATGGTAATAATTTCTAAAAAAAAGGAACCAAAAAATAATTAAAAAACAAGAAAGAAAAAGAAAAAACGCGAACACGAATTTGCTGGACAAGTTGTTCATTCTGCTTGACGAGGTCGGCTTTATTGGACTCTAACTTAATCTTCGATTGAAATTCTCCTTCAATCCTCAACCTCTCATCCTTCAACTGGTGGATGCTGTTCTGCACTTTCCTTACTTTATCCTGCTGCTGATCCAGTGACGTCTGCTTCTCTTGCAATTCCTTAGATGTACTGTCTCTTTTGTGATTAGGTGTTGGTACATATTTCATTCATTCATTCATTCATTCATTCATTCATTCATTCATTCATTCATTCATTCATTCATTCATTCATTCATTCAATCAATCAATCAATCAATCAATCAATCAATCAATTAATCAATCAATTAATCAATCAGTCAATCAATCAATCAATAATTTATTTATTTATTAATTTAAAATAAAAAAAAATTATTTTCATGGAGATGACTGACAATTCGTCTATCTTGTTCTTCTTGTCCGTCTGTACCTGGTCTACCGTTCGGCTAGTATTACCTGATGTGCAACAAAAAAAAGATAATTATCACTATCAATAAAAAACATAATTATTAATTATTGTGATTAATTATTGTGATTAATTATTAATTAATTATTAATTAATTATTATTAATAATTATAACAATAAACGCCATGAGGATAGAGTATATTGAATGAGGTCCTTGTGAAGAAAGCTGTGCTGCCAATAAGTCCTGAGATTAATTGCTATAAGATTGTTGAAAGCATGGAAAGGAGTGATCAGCAATGCTAGATAAGGATTGAGGATGAATTGTAAAATTGCAAAGTACCGATTTAGACTTTGTAAACATCTAGATAAAAATTACATCAACGTGAATAATTTATTGAAAAGCATAAAATATCATAATATTTGTTCGCAGAAACTGAAAGTGAAAAAAGTAGTTTCTCTTGAAGTTTGAGAACATGAGAACAAATTTGGAAAAAAAAATTCCATACCAGATGTAAGTTTATTCGAAAGTGCAGTAATCTTCCTGTTGAGGTCATTGGCCTCCAGGTGGAACCTCTCAACCACAGCTGCATCAGACGTTAGCGACTTGGCAAGTGACTCATCGTTTGTGTCCGCCTCCATCTCTTCCTCTTTCTGTTTGTTTGTTTGTTTGTCCATTCGTTTGTTTGTTCATTTATGGGTTTGCTCATTTGTTTGTTTGTTCGTTTATGGGTGTGTTCATTCGTTTGTAGCAAAATATTCAAAAAATACTTTTAAAAATTATTAAATAAAAAATTGTATAATACAATTTAAAATAGCAAAAAGATGAATAATTATAAAAGTATAAATAATAATAATCAAATTAATAATAATAATAATAACAAACAAACGAACGAACGAACGAACAAACAAACCTCATTAATTTCAAGCACGAGAGCAGATATCTCGTTAGTGAGCTTTTGAATACTGGCCTCAATTTTTGGAATTTCATCATCCCGAAGAGTCACCATCTGGTACAGTCAATAAAAAAATCCACAATAAATAGATCATATATTAATATTATCATCATAATTAATAATAATAATAATAATAATATTATGTATAAATGAAAAGTAATTTTAAATTGTAATAATTATTTTACTGTAAGACTCTTTATTACTATCACAGTATTTCTGGACATAAAACACAACTCAAAAAAAACATTACTATGACATGACTTGACATGACATGACCTGACCTGACATGACACCCACAAAAAAATTGTATCATCCTCATCTTCACCATCATCACATCACATCACATCACATCACATCACATTACTAACGATATCTTTTATTGGGTTCAACTTCAGCCAGGCTTCGTAGTCTCGGCTCGTCTCGGCGATAGATTCCTGCAACTTTTCCATTTTTTCTGGAATGATGTTCAGCTTTCCTTCCATCTGGTGATTTTGTTTTGACGTGATTTTACTTTGGATAGTGTAACGTGATTCATATTCATTCACGTGATTTTGATTTGATTGAATAATTTATGTGTCCTTTGTTTAATTAAAATTTTTTTCTCATAACTAGCAAGCAGAAAGTGCAAAAACTCTATTATTTTAATTATTATTATTTTCAGAGAACTGATATAGCGCCATTTAATAATAATAATAATTAAAAAATAATACCAAAAATCATAAGAGAACCTCAGAAATGAGTTCTTCGACTTCGGACTGTTCATCAAATGGTCGATGACAGAGGGGGCAGTCGGGGTTCTCCTTGTGAAGTTTGTCTATGTACTTCTTGAACATGTACTCCACCGCCATCAGGTGGCCCTTGTTGCTGATTGGTGGATAAATTTATAGATGGGGGTTGCTGATTGGTAGATGAATTTATAGATGGGGCTTGCTGATTGGTGGATGAATTTATAGATGGGGGTTGCTGATTAGTGGATGAATTTATAGATGGGAGTTGCTGATTGGTGGATGAATTTATAGATGGGGGTTGCTGATTGGTGGATGAATTTATAGATGGGAGTTGCTGATTGGTGGATGAATTTATAGATGGGGGTTGCTGATTGGTGGATGAATTTATAGATGGAGGTTGGTTGATTGATTGATTGGTTAATTGATCTGTCTGTTGGCTCATTGATTTAATTGTTGATTGGCTGTTTGGTAGGTTGGTTTGTTGAAAAACACAATTGGCAAAAGAAATCTTTCAAATAGAAACATAATTACATACAAAAATATATCAAAATATAATCGTAATTATTAAAAATCAATAATAATATAAAATAATAATAATTATTATAAAGTACAAACTCTTGACTAGTTTGCAACTTGGAGGTCAGAGCGCCTAGACCTTCCATAAAATCCTTTCCTCGGGTTATTGAGTTGATCTTCTCTTCATGGCCTTTCATTGGTCAGAAAATTGTTGGGTTTTTTGTTGTTATTTCTTTATTGTTGATATAGTAGTTTTGGCAAAAATATAACAAGAATAACAAAATATTATGATCAGAGAAAAATTATATGTGTAATTTCGAAACGGATTCGAACTCAGTACAAACAAACCTCTTAATTCATTTTGCTTCTTTTTTAATGTTTCTCTGTCAAAAAGAAATTGTCACAAAAATTTCAAATATGCATACTGGCTCTGCTCGTTTAACATATATCTAACTAGCATTAATCTAGTTACAAGAAAAACACACGACAGTGCATATTTTAATAAATAAAACAGGCAAAAAATAATAATACAGTTCAATTTCAGATTACATAACATTTAAAAACATATAATTACAATAACAATATACTTCTAATGACATTTATATAAGTTTACTTATATTATTAACGTTTTGAACAAGCAGCAATGTTAAATTAAAAATGAAAAAAATGAAAAAATATTCGAAGCTTTTTCCATGCCTTTAACAATGATGTACCTATAAAAGGAACTACGGGTTGAATATTCAATATGAAATGATTAATACTAGCAATTAATCTGATTTTTGATAAAATTAAAAAGTTTTTTATTAATTGCATAGAAAGAGAAAAGGAGCTGACTGTTCAACGTTTCGAATGGCTTCGAGTTTCGTGTGTTGACTCTTCATCCTCTGCAGCCTATCAACATGACTTCGAACATTCTTTGACTTCTCTCTGCAGGACATTTGGATGAAAAAAATAAATAGTCAAAATTGCTTTCAAAAAATATGAATCAACAAATAAACATACAGAAGAAGCATTCAAAAAAAGATAAATAAAACCAAACAAAAAGAGTAGTGTAGTAACATACAGTAGGTTTTAACATGCAGACCTGATATACTCGTCTAACTGTTTCTTCAATGTTTCTCCATGAACTGTTCCAAGAACGTGTTTCAATGTGTCTTCATTTTTTGAGAGGCTAATTAATTATTTGTTGAATGGCATATCTTTATCGTCATCTTCATCAGCATTTTAATCAACATTCTACAGCCCTAAACCACATAGCTATTTAATAACAGCTCTCTTAAACGAACAACCAACATCTTTATCATTGAAATCATAAACTTCTTCATCATTTTCATCATCCAACAATACATACAACGACAATACGACAATACATACAACATCATCATCCAAATTACCACCATCATCATCACCATCATCATCGTCATCATCATCATTATTCTTATTCTCATCCCAACACCCAACGCACATCTTTCTGATGTTTTCCTCCTTGCTCAACTTATCCTTATTATGGATATCCAGTTGCGTCCTGACAGCCATGTCCTGGTTCAAGTCACTTAGCTCACGGCTGTGTTTGTATTATTTTTTTTTCATATTGGGTCGTTTAAATTTCAAAAAGTTTAGAGAACATCAAATAAATTATTTTATTTGGTTTTGCTAAAGTTTAAATAGATTAAAAATAAAACAAAGAAAACCTTTGAAATTAAACAAACAGACAACAGAAAGAACAGATAGAGCAATCAACAGACACAAACAACAACATACAAAACCACACAACTATCACAGAAAACCATGAACTAACTCGAACTTTCGGACCTCTGCATCGAGGGAAGACCTCAACTTTTGAAGTTGTTGGATTTCCTGTTTCATCTCGCTGACATTCATTCCGCGCTCCAATTCAGCCATTTCACTTTCCTTATACAGAAAAATCAGTATTACATCAGGAAAAAATGTACAGCCAACACGTGCGGTTTTAAAAGTAAAAAGAATTTTGAGCATAAACGTAAATGAAGAAACATTTATTGTGGGACTGTTGAACATAATTAGAAAAATGAAACAAGCATTCTTAACGAACTAGTACTTCAGAGGAAATTAACTTCATTTAACTTATTATTATTATATGCCAGAGCAAAAGCAGACAGAATAGACAAGAAAAAATAATTATACAAAACAATCAAAACCAAACAAATATTCAATTTATTAGTAAGTATAAGGACTGAAAAATACAAATAACTTTCACGAAAAAACGGAACCATGCATGTACTAACGAGTTTACTGATGTTGTTCTTAACCGTGTCCAACTTGCCAGCAGATGTATTTATCTTGGTCAGTGCGCTTGTCATCTTTGCTATTTCAGCTTCATTGCGTTTCTTTATGCCATAAATTTCATAAAATTATTTCAAATGTAATATTTTTTTGAATAATTATAATGATAATTTATATAATAATAAATTATTATTTTTGAAAAATTAATTAGATTTAAACTGCAAAAATACGAAACTTGCCCATCATTAAAAACAGTTGTAACTCGCACTTAAGATTGCAAATCAATTGAATGATAGATACCAAACCAAACTTCTTAGACACATAAAAAATTAAATAACTGTATAATATATAAACATTATTAAGCAGCTTATAGAGCGAAAAATTGAAACAGAGCGAAAATGATTGAATGAATGATTTCCAAATGACCAGGTTCTCCTCTTTGATGGAACACTCGGTTTCCAGTTTTGTTTTTGTTTCACGCTTTTTGTTCAACTCCACCTGTACATCCGAAGACTTCTTTGTGTAAGCATCCTAAGTTGTAACACACATATATATATATATATATATATATATATATATATACCTACGTATATTATTTATTATTTGCAGCATGAATTCGGAAAATAAGTTTATTTTGAATTTTAATAAACTAAACGTTCACCAAAAAACTTTAGTGAAAAAAATTGAAAAAACGAACTACAAACATATTAATGCCAAACATTCGGTAAAATTTATAGAATATTATAAAAATTATGGTCTATTACCAACATATATATATATGTATATAATATATTCAGTGTTTGAATATTCATTT